TGCCATAGCTTTCCTCCCAAGAAGCAGGCGTCTTTTAATATTGTGGCTGTTGTCACCATCTGCAGTGATCATGGAGCCCAAGAAAATAAAATCTGTCCATTGCACTAGACGTCAGTTAATTTGATGCATCATAGCATTTAAGAGGGAGAAGTCCATCTTAAATCTCTTGGTGACATAAAACCAATATTGCTTTGTCTCAGCCCTGCATTGGCACTAAAGGGAAAATGATATTGTTCAATCTTAGTAGATTACTGTAAGACTTGCTAATAGACTTCTGTGCTAGAAGTGTAGGAATGAAGAAGCAAAACTGCCCTTGAGCAGCCTTCTGCCCTTCCCTTTTTGTGGTGTTTCTCCTTTCTGTTTTCACTTTTGTGCCTTTTGTGTTGCTGGATAACTCACTCCCCTTGCCGCAGCCCTTCTCCTGCTGCCAAGACCTGAAAGAACCAAAAAAAAAAGAAAAGGGGGGGGGAGTCCAGAAATGATCCTCATCACTGAGAAACAGCAGAAGACCTGGTCATTTTTTTAGAAGCAAGGGCTGCTAGTTCGTTACTGGGCAAAGGAGTTTATTTTTAGAGAATGTAGGTGAAATGTCCTGGTTCATAGATTCATAATTTGAGAACTGAGTGCATTTTATGTATTGCTCATGGGTAAAAGGGCAGACAACATGAAATATATAAAACATGGAGGGGACACAGTAGCTGATCCTCCCAGTCTGATGAAGAAATTGGATGAATTGGATGAAGCTCACCACATACTGTATCAGATTTTTAAATGTTTGACTTCAAAAGAGACTTTTTCCTAGTGTTTGTTTTATCCGGTAAAGCAGTCTTTCAACCATTTTGCACAACCGAGGTTCACGGATTCAGAAACAAGAAGCTATGCTTGTATTTAGGTTTTTAATTTTAACCAGGCAGTTTTTTTTTTAAAAAAAGAACATAACAATACATTGGTTGGTTTGTCTATATAAATTACTAATTTTTATGTTAGTTCCCAGTAAGGTGTATTTCATGAACTATGTAAACTATACTGTGGATCCTGATGGTAATTTTTAGAGTATACTGTATATTTTAATTATTGTAAGCCTCCCAGAGACCTTTGGGTAGTGTGGGTGGCATGTAAGTTAAATAAATAAATAAAATAAACTCATATTTCTCAGAGTAAAAAAAAAACTGCATCCCCCCACTGGGTGGCATGTAAGTTAAATAAATAAATATAATAAAGTTAACTCTTATTTCTCAGAGTGTAAAAAACATCGATTTAAAAACTGCGCCCCCACCCCGGCTGCATATTGTTGAGAAGCTGCCATGACACAGCTTGACATGTTAATGCTGTTTGCCATTCTAGGACCTCCGGCCACGTGGACAAATTTGCAGACTTCATGGTGAAGGATGTGAAAAACGGGGAGTGTTTTCGAGCTGACCACCTTTTAAAAGGTATGTTCCTCTGAACAATCGTGAATGACACAAAATACTGTGCTGGGCTTAACTTGCTTCAACAGACGATCTGAAAACCTCAGTGATGTTGCCAAGCCTACCTTGCAAACGTATGTCATGGGTTAAACGGGCACCTCCCCGAGGTGGTCTAAACCCCTTCTAAGTCTGGGAGGGTGTTACTTCTCAGGTTTCCCTCCCACCTCTTTATCCACCACAGTTAGGGCTGCAAGCCTCCATTTCTGAAAAGCAAGAGCAGAAAACGTGGGGGCATCCTGGAAATGCCCAAGTAGGAGAATATTTGCAGTAATTCTTTGTGAAGCCCTTCCTTTGGTTATGATTTTCTGAGAAATGGCACCTCCCGCTGTCGTTGAAGGGGTTTAGATCAGTGACATGGTTTTGATGTCATTTGTGTCGGAATTCCCTCCTTGGGAAGTTGAAGGGGTTTTTCTAGAACAGAGGAAATTTCTCCTTTATTTGGGCTACTCCTTGTGTTGTGTTTGTAGGCAAGGCAAGGCAAGGCAAGATGTATGGGGCTTAGCCCCTTTTCGGGGGGAGGCATCTTGCCACTGTCAGCTTTGCTTGTTCAGAACTCCCAGCTTGCCTTGATATGCCGGAATCCCTCTTATTAGGAGGAGCCTCAAGGCACAGCGGTCAAACTGCAGTACTGCAGTTGAGACTCCACTCATGAGCTGAGTTCACTCCTGGGCTCAGGTGGCTGGCTCAAGGTTGACTCAGCCTTCCATCCTATGGGGCAGGTTGGCAATCTGAGTACCAAATTTGTGTGTTGGGTGGGGGGGGCCAATGTATATCCTGCCCAGAAGAGACTCCACTCATGACCTGAGTTCACTCCTGGGCTCAGGTCGCTGGATCAAGGTTGACTCAGCCTTCCATCCTATGGGGCAGGTTGGCAATCTGAGTACCAAATTTGTGTGTTGGGGGGGGCAACATATACCCTGCCCAGAAAGTGCTTTAAGCACTATGGGGCAATATATAAGCAGCACATTTTGCTTTGCTTTTTATTATAAGGATCCCGTTATTAGTCATCTACAGTATATTGTTGGTCAGCTGGAAGTGGGGGGGATTAGAAGAAACACTGGAGTGTCCAGATATTCCGGAATGCTGGAAGGTGGCATAAGGATAATTTAGGCAATTTGGGTTGGTAGGAGAGTGAGAGGATTACGATGATGTGGCATGTCACACTTGCAGGAGAACATGGGGATTTAAAGATCATTTTTTATTAAATCCCTATGTCCCACCTAATCTACTACCGTGTCTTGCAGTGATTCGTATAGTGCTGGCTGAGACCTGCTGCTTTAATAGACTTATGATGATGGTTCAGGATTTGAGTGTTGCTTTCTGTGACCAGACAATTGTGTGGCTTTTGATATCAAGCCACCAAACATGGGTTTATTGCCCAAGATATTCAGAACAGAACGGCTTTATGAGCTGCTTGTTGTACATAGTCCTCTCTGAAAGGCAAGTGTTGGGAGATGCTCAGAAGGTATGGTTCTCGCCAGCACAGAGGCTGAAGAAGGCAAGTTTAACCAGTGCAAAGGTAGCATCCACCAGGGGATGTTCTCATCTCGGTTTGCCTAACCATAAGGTTACACCATTGTCGTAATTCCTGGCTAGGGCTCTAGACCTGATCCAGTGACTGATCCCCGCCAGAGCAGACCCCGCTATTCAGTTATCAAATGGTGTTTGTGGTAGCCCATGGATTCAGGGAGTCTGCCTTCGTGGAGATTAGCAGCAGGATTTAGAACTTCAAAATCTAGGTTTTCCCCCCCTGCTTACCACTGACTAAGTGTTCCTGACAGAGCCACATGGTGTCCCCTTCCGTCTTTGTCTGCTTCTCTTGAAAATAAATATTTTTGATGTCCTTCCAGTGATTAAAGCACGTGAAGTCTGTTGGTTTGGCTCAATTGCTCATAACGGTGCTGCTCCTCTTCCTCGGTTCTGATTTACGGAAGCCCACTCTCGAAAATGCTGACTGAAGAAGGTTCTTCAATTCCAGTTGAGCCTTTCAATTCGTAATAACATAATTTAGGAAAGAAAAATTGAGATGACTGTATGTTAAGAGTACACCATCACATAACATGCAGTATTTAATCTTAAAAGAGATTTAAAGATGTTTCGGAGACTACGTTAGATTAATTTTTAGCACAAATTAGTGGAAATTAGAGTACCCTCATGCAGTTTTGCCGGACTGTGTCAACCTGCAAGATCAGAGCCCTTGACTCAGTTTTCAGGTGCAAGAAGGTGCAGGTTGCTTCAGTTTCTCTGATTTAGGGATGTTCACACTTCCATCTTCAGGCAATTCTTTCCACACGGGCCTTTTTGAGTTGTGCGTACTATATGAGACCAAGCCCATTGTGGAATGCTTTAGCCCAGTCTCTTGGGCCACACTGTTGTGTACTTGCAATGAAAGTGTGGCTGAGAACACAGCAGCTCTCCCCTGTAGTTGCGCTTTGCAGACATCCACGATGGATGAGGTCTCCGGGAGCTTGCTCGTCCATCATCACCAGTCTCTTCAGGAAGCCGCAGAGCTCCTGGGAACCTGCCTGAAAGCTGTTACTTCTGAGTTTATATTTTGCTGCTCTTCTGGATTCGCCGCGAATGCGTCTTTCCTTGTCTTGCAGCCCACTTACAGAAGCTCATGTCGGACAAGAAATGTACCGCTGAAAAAAAGACCGAAATGGAGAACGTGCTAACGCAGGTCAGTAGGAATCGTGGGCAAACGAAAGTGGAGGCTCTGACCGTTTGTAGGCTGTGTGGCTGGTCAGGCTGACTCCCAGGGGCAAAACTCTGTCTCCGTATTCCAGAAGTTGAAGAAGCGGGAAGCCCGTGCAGGCAGCATCTTAGCTCTCCTTCAGAGCCAAAGTCATTCATTCTGTAACACAGCACCACGGCCAGGCCTTCCTTGTTCTTGCTCTCAGGCCATTTCTCCTGCTGAGGTGTTGCATGAATCTCACTCTTCCTCATTCTTGGTTTCTAATGAAGCTCAATTTGGGGGGAACGAGGAAGCCTTGACAAGCAGGATAACTGCGGGGCGTGTGTCTTGTTACTGTTGGTCTGTGCTCTTTTCTTTTTATTTATTTATTTATTTATGGAGCTGGGTTCTGGGAGTCGTAGGCCAACCCAAGCGCTGGCCGCAACATCTTGTAGCGTGCCTTTAAGGGCTTGGTATCCTGCCAAAGGGGAGGTGGTGGGGTGGATAAAGGGAGGTCCTGCTGCAACCCCTGTGTTAATCTGATGGCTTTTTATTTTTTTTATTTTTTCCTCCTAGCTGGATAACTACGGCCAAGAAGAACTCGCAGACCTGTTTGTGAATTACAACGTGAAGTCTCCCATCACAGGAAATGACCTCAGCCCTCCTGTGTCTTTCAACCTGATGTTCAAGACTTCTATAGGGCCCGGTGGAAACATGCCAGGGTATGTGAAGCATGGAAATTGATGTGTCTATTTAAGATCTGGGGAATTTTTGTGGGGATGACTTCGCTCAGGCTGTTGCCAAACGCATTCCCAGTCGGCCTGCTTCTCTGAAGCCAACCCCTACCCCCTTCTCCATCTTCTGGAGGAATTCCCAAGAATGAATGACATTTGGGGGAAGCCGTTACACATTCCAGCAGTGATGCTGAAGGGGAAGTGGGTTGAGAAAACAGCCGGTTAGGCAATTGAGGATCCCTTATGCCTGACAGTAAAAAAAAAACAAAAGCAGTTTTACTTCTCAAAATCAATGCTTTCGCTTCTCCAGGCATAATAGGGGCATTCCAGGGTGGGAAGATCTGGTAGTGGTACAAAATGTAACAACAAGGCCAAGCAAAGTGAACTAATTAATAAATATATATTTTGAATCCATCTTGAGCCTTTGCTAAGAGCTGTTTTTGCTAGCTGGGTGATTGTGGGAGTTGTATTTAAGAAGTTCCCTGGTCTTATGTTAAACCTTTTTTTGTTGTATTAGGAGGGTGTCTTTGGCAAAGCATTTAATGATACACATAAAATGGAAGACGTAATGATCTCTAAGGTTCATGGTACAAAAAGAACATGGTGCAGAGGTTGTACCTCCTCAGGCACGTTGATTTCAGATCAAACCATTTGTCCAAGCTTATGACAAGCTGATAGGTCAACTTAGCATGAAGTGAAAGTGCTTCTTGGGTTTTGTAAGAAGAAAATTGACCAGACAACCCCGTGTATTGGTAAATGAATGAACTGCAGCATCTTTAGGGTGAGCTAGCAACTGAAGGATACAGCCATTGGTCCATAGAGTTTCACAGTTGAAGACCTCTGTTTCTTAGTAGAAGCAGTGGAGGCAAAACCCGAACTCAGCTCCAGTTGCAAGTTCAAGTTCAGGGTGTTGGTCACCCGTGAGTAAACCTCTGCAAGGAAGACCAAAAGGCCCAGGATGTGGGCCTCTCATCCCGTTTGAATGAGCCTAGAAGAGGAAACGGGAGTGACTTTGAAGGGCATCCTGGCAGAACTTAAGCCAGCTCACTTTCACTTTGTTTCTTAGCTTGATGATCCGTTGTCTGGGAACCAGGCCTGTTTTCTCTCAGCTGGACCTTTTTCCTGTTCTCTAGCCATGGTTGTCATCTCATCTTTTGTGTGTTCCTTCCCTTTAAAAAAAATAGTTACCTGAGGCCAGAAACTGCACAGGGAATCTTCCTGAACTTTAAACGCCTTTTGGAGTTCAACCAGGGAAAACTGCCTTTTGCTGCTGCTCAGATTGGAAATTCATTCAGAAACGAGATTTCTCCTCGCTCCGGCCTCATCAGAGTCAGGTACTGCCCGCGTTGTTTCTCCGTGGCTCTTGCTCCTGCAGCATGGGAGGGAATGAAAATGTCTTAGTCAGAACAGCTCATTACCCTAGAGTAGTCCTTCCTAATACGATCCTATGAAGTTTCTCCCTTGACCTCACAGTTTCCCCCTTTTGCTACCCAACCAAATCATGATTTAAATCAATTAGATTTTTTTTTTTAAAAAATCATTTTTTAAAAATCCACCCTGCCAGCATATCAGGAACTTGACATTTTGTGGGTGGACATCATATTGCTGTTCTGAGCATACTCCGTATCAGGTCCTTGCAGGCAGAAAGATTGACTGTGTACGTTTGTACGGCTACCGTACCTATTTTCAAGTTTCATTCTGACTAGCCTTTAAAAAACAACTTTGAAGCTAAGTACTTCACTCTTCGTAATGCAAACTGATTCCAAAGAAAACTGTCTAGCAATTTCCACCACTCTCTCATATTTAGATCTTGGGAATCAAAAGTGGGGAGCATGGCGTTGATGGGATATCCCTTATGACTCAGGCAAGCATCTTAAGTGTATGTTAACAAAGCCCCTAATCTCGTGCAGAGTCAATTCAGTGGTGATGCTAGCACTCTTGAGTTGGGGGAGGCATGTTGTTGAGAACACACATTAACTTGACCTGGCTTGGGTATGTGGGATTCTGCCTTGCAAAACATCGTTTCTAACGCCTGTCAAATGGAAGAGCTGTTACATCTCGGTGGCATCTTTCTGTTTTAGGGAATTCACCATGGCCGAAATAGAGCACTTTGTGGATCCCAGTGAGAAACATCACCCCAAGTTCCAGAGCGTGGCCAACCTCCACATCCTCCTGTATTCCTCCAAAGCCCAGACCAGTGGGCAGCCAGCACGTACCATGCGTTTGGGGGATGCTGTTGAGCAGGTAACCCAGGTGTTCCTTTTACTCTTAAGACACATTCTTCTCGGTGGGATTTTGGCCCTTTGTGTTGCCGTATTTTTCCATGTATAAGACACCCCATGTATAAGATGCCCCCCCTTTCTAATCCAAAATTAAGAAATCTAAGTGGGGCTTAGCAAGTGTAGGGGGAAAGGGATCAAAGCACCGCAGGATCGCTTTGATCCCTGCTTTCCCCTCCACTTGTTTTTGTTCTCGCCTCAGCTTTCTTCCGTGTATAAGACAACCCTCAATTTTTAGTCTAAAGATTTTAGACAGAAGTATAGTCTTATACATGGAAAATACGGTATTTTGTCTCTTATATGTTTTTATTCTTGTTTTATATATATATATATCTCCAATAATCAATGATGTATGTGTGTGTGTGTGTGTGTGTATGTGTGTGTGTGTGTGTATGTATGTATGTATGTATGTATGTATGTATGTATGTATGTATATGTATGTGTGTACACCCCATTGATTATTGGATGCTCTAAAAGTGAAGTAAGTAAATGAGCAAATATCTTTCTTAAGGAGACTTGGGGATTTTAATTGTATGAAGCAGCTAGGGATTTCTGAATTCATCGTAGTTGTCCAGGGTTTCCTATTGGGGATACATGATGAGATCTTTGTGTTATGATCTGTAGCAGCGTTCATCCTGTTGGTCAAGACCATTGTTTCCAATACAGTGGGCAAGAGGTATGTCAGGCCCTGCTGGTCACCAGCCTGAGAAAGAGCCTGAGAAAGCCCCAATGATGAGTTTTGTATTTGGGTGCCTAAAGGATCAGTCCCGAGTCCGTTTTCAACAGAACGCTTTTGATGGTTTATCCCAAGTTAATTTTTCTGATTTAATACATTGAAAGCGCTGTTAAGTCTTCTGGTGGGGACATGCTGTTTTCTGTCGTATTTACGCATAACAACAAGTGTTGCAGTCAGTTCTGGAGGAAGCGGCTTGTGACGATGATTTTTGTTGTTTCTCCTGCTAGGGTGTGATCAATAACTCAGTCCTGGGCTACTTCATTGGCCGCATCTACCTCTACCTCATCAAAGTCGGCATCTCTCCCAACAAGCTGCGCTTCCGACAGCATATGGAGAACGAGATGGCGCATTACGCCTGTGACTGTTGGGACGCAGAGTCGAAAACATCCTATGTAAGTGATCCGGTAGCTGATGGGGCTTTGGTCTTCGTCGCGATGGGTGAGTCGGGAAGGAGATCATAGCCCTCGGCAAGAATCTTCTAGGCCAGTGGTCCCCAGCCTGGGTTCCTTAGACCTTCTTGGACTCAATCAGTTTGTCGTTGTTGTCTTTATTTAGAGAGCCTTTGAGGACTTTAGTGACTTTCGTGGTTTCTTCTGCAGTAATCGCTTTTAAGATGCATGGCTCTCAAAGCGGATTTTATTTTATCCTTTAATGAATCAAATGTAGTTTTAATTTTCAGTTAACCAACTTCACTGGGTTTTGCTGAGGAGGATGAACTAAATGAATTCAAATATTTATAACTTTTATTTTGAGTTGAATTGTTGGTGTAAGAACCTTTATTATAAATAAAATACATAAGTAAAATATAAACACATGTTAGATGAACACATATACACGGATGTGTTTGTACACAGTGTGTACACAACACAGACACACATACATGTAGATAAACATTAATGCAGGAAATACAGGTGGAAGTCCTTTTGTGCAACTGCACAAAAGGTGTAGCATTTAGAGGTGAATTGCGGTAAGTTAAGAAATCTCAATAGGCTTTATCCGTTACATATTGACTTAAACAACTCAGTGTACAACAAAGGTATTTTAACTGATGGCAGTTTGCTACTAAAGTTACACCTTTTGGTTAACTGCAGCAGGATTTCAGCCGTTGTGTTGCTTATTCCTTTTAGTTTTGAAAGAATATGTATTTTGTCGTGACCCTGGCTTTTTAGCTTTTTAGCAGCGTACCACTTCTGAAGACAGGTTTGCTGGCCCCTGCCCACCCTTTTGCTCTGAGGGTGGCATGGTTTATGTTTCACTTTGCACCTTTTGGGCCATCTCCACTTCTGCAGCAGACGGGTTTACATGTAAGGTGGTGTGGGATTTTGAGGCTGGATTCAGTAAAGGAGAATCACTAAAGGGAGCCTAGGAAGCCGCTGGAACTGGTATTTCCCAGTTGTTTTAAGGTTCAGAGTGAAACCGGAGACTGTAGATTTTGCTTTCAGTTTCATGGAGTCCTGCGGTGGACCAAAAAAAATGAAGCTTTTGGTTTTGGGCTTTTTCAGGGGTGGATTGAAATCGTTGGCTGTGCTGACCGTTCCTGCTATGATCTCTCTTGCCACGCCAGAGCTACCAAAGTTCCTCTTGTAGCTGAGAAACCGCTTAAAGAACCCATATCCTTTTGGAAACGAAACCCTTATTTCCCAGGGTAGATTCTTTCTTAGCCGCTTTGGCTCCCTTGTTGGGAGAAACGCAGCATATAAAGAAAACTAATAATAA